TGCGTTTTTAAGGCACGAAGTAGCCCGACAGATAATAAACCAGGATCCGTGATACGACCGGACCACGTTGTGCAGCTCTGCGCATTTCCAGCCTCAAAGCTCTCTGTGAAACCAAAACATGCGCCGGGATTCAGGGGAATAGATACTGTTTCCATTGAAGTGTGGCACATGCCGACGGAGAGCACCTGTCGTTAATCCTTTGGCGAGGTCCGGTGCGCTGGGCCGGCCACTCATTGGGTTCGTTCGCCCTGTGTTTACTGGTACGCTGCTTCGACCGTCACAGAAAAGTGCGCGAGGACAGCTTCTTTTCTTCATCGCGTGGAAAAAGCGCCGAGCAGTGCCGTGCAGAGCAGTGCGGAGGAGCGACAGGGCGCCGGGAAAGATGCACGCCCGGCCGACACGCATGTGTGGCGGGAGGGTCTACCCGCCACTCCACAGGCGCTCCGCTCCGCACCGAGGCACAGGCTTCTCTTCTCGGTTCGGTCCCGGCCGGTCTGGGTGCACCTGCTTCCCCCACTCCACTCCGCAGGGCCGCTGCCGAACCCGTTGCCAGGCAACGCGGCGCAGACGTTTTAAAAACTTGCCGCAGGACGGTGCGACTCGCACCGACTCGCCCCGAGCGGCGACTGTGGCGTTGGCGTGAGTGGCACCACGGCGAACGGCTGCGCGTCGCGTCGCGGTCCCGCGCGCTTCTGGTGCCAAAATATTTGCGTGTCATTTTCATTTCATTCCCGACTCGTAGATGGATCGCGGCGCTGGGAGCGCGACGGCGGCGGGAGGGGGACGGGGGTGCCTTCAAAGGGAGCGCCGCGCCGCCTTACTCCGATGCGATGCCGCGGCGAGGTAGAGTGCGGTAGGGGGAGCCGAGGCGAGGCGAGGCGGCCCTTTGGAAAGAAGTCTCTCGGTCCGAGCGGCGCCCCTGCATTAGCCCGGCTCCGCCGCCCCGGCTTTTACCCCACCTGCCTTTTAATTTGGCCACTGCCCCTCCTTCCCACGGCCGGTGCCACCGAGGCCGGCGGGGCCGCCGCCGAGGCCGCGCCCTTCGCTTCATCAACCGCGTCCGATTTGGCCATTCGGCGCCGGTCGGGCTCGGGCTTTTATTTCGGGCGAGGCTTCCAACCCCTTCGCCGCCGCGGCGCCGCGCCCGACGCCTCGCCCTCCCTGGTCCCTCCGCTTGTCCCTCCACGGCCGCGCGGCCCCACACCGCGAGCGGCGTCCCTCCCGTTCCAAGCAGTGCGGGCGTCGCAGCGTCTCTCTTTCACCGTGTGCGCGAGCGAGGCAGCAGGCTGGTGCTCTGTCTCTCTCGCACTCTCACGGCAGCCCGTGAGTGTGCGAGCGAGACAGCGGAGGAAGCATTGCTCGGAGTCGGACAGCGACTGCTTGGCGTCAAACTGCTGCCGACGCTTTGCCGGATGCTCTGCTCGCCGCGTGCCTGCGGGGGCCGCGGGGGCGGCGGGGGCCGCGGGGGCGGCGGGGGCCGCGGGGGCGGCGGGGGCTGCTGGACGAGTGGCGGCGTGATCGGCTCGTGTTGCCCCGCCCCTTCGCCCCCCCCCTCCCCCGCAGCCGCGTTCGGCCGAAATTGAAACGAAATCCGCATGCGATTGACAGCCAAGGGCAGCAGCATGGAAGGATCCCTCTCACGCCGTGCCCGCCGCCCCTACCCGCCCCGCGCCGCCCCGCCGTGCGAATCGAAACCGTAATGGCGGCCGCGATGATCAAGGGCCGGGTAGCCGAAAGCGCTTTCCGCTTTCGAGAAATGGAAAACGTAACAACAAAAATAAAGGCAAAACGCGATAAGTCGAGGCAACACGTGCGCGGTGCTAAGGCGAAGGCCGCGGGCCGAGCGCGCGAGATTAAAGCGTTCCGGCGTACCTGAGCGCGGTCCAAAACGGAAACTAAAGTAAGGTACTCGGAGGAGAATCAAGTTTAAGAATTCCGTAAACTCTTCGGACATGTGCAGCGGAACCAATATTTTAAGCTCTTTTTGTTCGAAATTGCAAAGCAATATGATTAATGCGAATCTAATCCAATTGACCCGAGGCGAGTCTCCATTATGCCGCGTGCAGGTGGAGCCCTCCGGTGCATGTTAACGACGTTCCACACCGTCATCAAGGAGCTGGATGGAGGCGGACGTGGGTTCGGCGGGGCGGGCGGGGCGGGGCGGGCGGGGCGGGGCGGGGGGGGGCCCTTGGTGGCAGCATGGGGTGCACAACACAGCAACACAGCCCATGGCCACACAAGGATTGTAATTCAAGAGAGCTAATTTGGAAGTGTCTCACGCTCGGGGCGCGGCGCGGCGGCGCGTGGTGGGGTGGGGTGGGGCCGGGTGGGGCGCGGCCCCCGGGATGGAATGGAGCCACGGCCACGGCGGCCCCGCTGAGAGAAACGACTGCAAAGGAGAAGGAAGACTCGCACGGCGCGGCACGGCGCGGCGACACCCTTTGGAACGGCCGGGATGGACCGCAGGACCACACCACCACACCTGCACGCCGCCTCCCCACCCCCGCCGTCGCGAAGTCCCGAACAGTGGCGCGGCCCAGTGGCGCCGACGTCCGCAGCCGCGCGCCCCTCCACCACAAGCAGTGCCCCGGCCGCGGCCCGCCGGGCGGCTTCGTTTTGCCGCTGTCTCTCTCAGCCCTGCGGGCCGTCCCTGGGGAGCGACGGAGACGGAGGGACCAAACGACTGTTCGGAATGAGCCTGAATGCCGGCCGCACTGCCGTTCCGCGGCCCGTTCCGCGGCGCCGCGAGGTGGCCGTTGCAGCGTGGCGCGGCCCGGCGCGGACCCAGGCGGGACGGCCGCGGTGTATTATCTCAATCTGCTGCATAAAGAAGCTTCCATAAAAGAGAATTTATCGGCGCGCGTCGCGGCACCGCCGGCCGCCGCACAGTCATCCCTCTGGAGTCCGGGAGCCCCCTGGAGGTCCGGCCATGCCACCGGGACCTCCGTCGCGCCGCCGCACCTGGACTCCCGGGTGCCACTTGGCGGTCCACTACACTGCGTAACACTTCTCCGATCCAGTCGTCGAAATGCGAGAAAGTTCGTGACCTCGTCGACGCCAACGTGCTCTCGGTGGCCGCCCGCGCCGCCGGCAACGGTGGTCGCCGCAGAAATAACTCGGCAACGACTCCCCTCCCCCCGGTGCCCGGTTACGTCCACCGTGTCGAACAGAGACAAAGTGTCGAAACGATACAGGAGGCGTTATCGCGGTCCTGCCGCACGCCGCGTGCCGTGCCGTGCCGCGCCGTGCCGCGCCGTGCCGAGCCGCGACCCGCCACCCCTCCGGGCCATAACCAACGCCAGTGTGGACGTAGCGTGTTTCGGACTCGGCGCTGCTGCTGCGCAGGCGAAAGGAAGGGGATTCGGGCACGGCGGGCTTGGCGGCACACGGCGGCCACGGCCGTGGGGTGTAAGTGCTTGCGGGGGCGGGGCCGGCACGGCTGGCGTTCCGGGGGCTCCGCGGGGCCTCCGAGACCCCCCAGCTCCAGCAGTCACCGGACGGCAGTCAACGGCCACGGCCCAGGCCACGGCCATCCCGCTGCGATCACGAGGACATCGAGGGCCCAACAACAACCAGCGACCGCCAAGAAAAGAGGACGCCTTTCTCTTCGCCTCCCCCACTTTTCACTCAGTTTCGGTATGAGAAATTTTTCTTGAGGACAGCTGCTTAGTTTCTTCGTTCAAGAAAAATTTGCTCACTCTCAATAGTTGTTCAATGGGCCAAGGCGATTCTCCAGAAGGGAAAACCGTTCTTCTCGAGAAAGTTCCGCGCGCCTCGTACAAGAAGACAGCGGACCGTGGTTCGCGGCGTCCGCGGCCGTTGCCCCGAGCGAAGGGCGAGCGCCGTGTCCACGCTGTCGGCCTGGATGAGGATGCACCGGCACCGGCGGAACATCAACAAGCGTCAAACTGGCTTTGCCATAAGACGCCAAGCCCGGCGGAGCCTGGCGAGGCCCAGCCCGGGCGCAGCGCGGAGAGTTAAGCCCCTGTTGTGCCAAACGCGGACCCGGGGCTGGAGGAGGAGGGGGGGGGGTGACCCGAGGCAAAGTGCAGCGGTGTGATTCGCAGCCTTGGCCAACCCCTTTCGCCTCATCCCTTATTCCGAGCCGCGTGCACACACAGACTCAATTGCAGTGTGCTGGGCGAAGGACGGCGGGGGAGGGGGCGAGGGCTTTGGCCCGGGGCGGCGGCGGCGGTAGAGCAGCGAGATACTATACATAGTTGCTATCGGGCGCACGTATTTTACACGACCCGTTACACACTGTGCCGCCCGGACAGCTGGACGCCGCCTCATCATGAGGGGGTGGGGGTGGGTGGGGGACCGCCAGTAAAAGGGCTGAGAGGAACGCGTCGGGGATCGGGAAGGGCGCGTCATCTGACGCTGCATGCGGAGCTCTGCCTGCCGTCTGCTCGTTCCAAATTAACAATTCAACCCCTTCCCTCCCCCCTCCCCCCGGGCGCCGTGACGTGCCGACAGGGACAGAGAGCAACGGAAACAGGCAGCCAGTTCGGGGAATTCACGCGGCCCCCCACCCCCTTTTCACACGCGCGGGAATTCCCCGCCGTGACGAGGGTAGGCGCGGCGGCGCGGCGGCGCGGCGCTGGAATTGACTAACTGGACTGCGGCGCGGCGGCGCGGCGCTCATGACAAATCGACGCGCCTGCAGCGGTGCGGCCGGTGTGCCAGCCGGGCGAAAGCGGCGTCCGCCCTACAGCGCAGCGGACGACGTCCCGAGTGTAAATATAATCTAAACCGGCGGTACCGGCGCGCGCGCCACGCCCGCCGTCCGGCCGCGTTCGGCAAGGTCGCCGCGGCCCACGCGCGTGCCGTGGAAGAACTACCCAAACATTTAATGTGGCACCTGTTTGACCGGGGAACACAACATTCTGCCGCGCGGCCGTCGCGCGTCGGTTCGTCCGGCGGCAACGTCGCGATGACACGCCCCGCCACGCCGGCAGCACGCACGCGCCTTACACAAAGTTAATGGAAGTCAAACTCACCCGATCATCTTTTCTGAGCCGCTTCCTCTCCGCTGCGCTTTCCTGTGGAAACGAGAGGAACGTGAAACGTGAGCCAGTGGGAAAGGGGAGAGAGGGAGAGAGAGAGAGAGAGAGAGAGAGAGAGAGAGAGAGAGAGAGAGAGAGAGAGAGAGAGAGAGAGGAGAGAGAGAGAGAGAGAGAGAGAGAGAGAGAGAGAGAGAGAGACCGCTCCGTGACTGGCCGTCACTCGACCATTCAAACAAAAAAAGAGAAAGAGAGGGAAAAATGGCGGCGTGCCACGCGGCGCTGCGCGCTCCAGGAAATGGGAGGTAAGCGCGCTAACTGTGCGGTGGCGGTTCCCCTCGTCCGAAGTGCAGGGTTATTGTGCTAGGTCTAGGAAGCGCCGTCTCCAGGGCCTCCCTCCTCTCTCTCCGTCTCTCCCACGGAGCGGGGCGGCGCCCTGCCAGCGCCTGCCAGCCCAGCCAGGCCAGCTCAGCAACACGCGGACGGCCGGAGGGGGCGATAGAAAGGTGCTGCAGCGCGGGGACAATTACCATACAAATAGCACTGTCGGAAGGGAGCAAACTGCAGCGGCAACACCTCGCCAACAACGGAAGGGACTGGGCGGCGGGGCCCCGCGGGGACGGGGTGGGACCGGCGGCGGGGCCCGGCCATCAAGGACTCCGTACTCCGTTCGACAACTTTTTAGCACCACCGCCGTAAAAAAAGAAAGGGGGAAAATCGAAGGGGGTGAGCGGCGAGGCAGTGAAGTAAAATTTTTACAAACAAACGCACAAAACAGCACAAAACAAAACACAAATAATGAAGCTAAGCGAAAATACATAAATCCACTCTTATAGTTAATCATTTGACAGTTTCACGTTGTTTGTTTCTTTTCTAAAAAAAAATACAGGGTTGAACTTACGAGGCGTCCTCGACGACAGTGGCTAGGATGAACTCAGTTGACTTATCATTAGGAATCACGTGGCAGTCTTCAATGTCAAACGAGCGATCGTTGTCCTTTATGTCGTCGTCGTCCTCGTCCTGGAAACAGAGAAGGCAGGGCATCAGTTTGGCGGCCCTGGCGGCCCTGGCGGCCCTGGCGGCCCTGGCGGCCCTGGCGGCCTCGGCGGCGGCCTTGGCATAATCCTGGCCGGGGAGCGGGAAGGGAAGGAAAACTACCCGGGGCGCGTCCCAGTGGCGTCACCCATATCTCAGCCCTATCGCAACCCTTTGTCACCCCGGCCCGCGACCCGCCGGTCTAATTCCAGAGAAATCGCATCATTTGTCTGTCTTCGCGCGCCGGGGACGGACCGCGACGGGGCGTGGGGGGGGGGGCAACGAGAGGAAAGCACATTCCATTCAAACAAACATGGCGGAGCCACGGCGGAACCGCAAATCCCGTTAGCCATCATTAGATCTCGCAGCGCGGAACGGAAACGCGCCTTTGCCTGCTGCCCTTTCCCCCACCGCGGCCCCTCCCCCCTCCCCACACCCCACCCGAACCCAACAACCCAGCCCACCGCAACCCGGAACCCATAACCCGGCGCAACCAACCCCGACCGATAATGCCCCTTGAATGTTTTCGCGGCCACAACAGCTGCACGACCCCCCCCCCCCCTTTTTCCGCGACCCGGACGAAAATGACAAGCATCGAGCTCCTGGATCCCTTTGCTAACGGGCGCAGCCAGGCGCCTCGCGTTTGCGCAAGTCTCACTGCCAGTCTCACTGCCAGTCTCACTGCCAGTCTCACTGCCAGTCTCACTGCCAGTCTCACTGCCAGTCTCACTGCCAGTCTCACTGCCAGTCTCACTGCCAGTCTCACTGCCAGTCTCACTGCCAGTCTCACTGCCAGTCTCACTGCCAGTCTCACTGCCAGTCTCACTGCCGGGCTGCATGACGAATGCGGTGGCTATGCGGTGACCCCCACCCCCAAACGAGTACACCCCCGACTTCCCCCCGCCTGCCTCGCCTGCATGCTGATCCCCAACAGTGGTTTCGCGTCGCTGTATGCGTCTCTCTCCCGTCCCACGAGGTGCGACAGAGACAGGAGGATTCCCCCCCCCCACTCGCAATTAATTACCACAGTGTGTCGGTCGGCACGGCGGCGCCGGCCACGCCTTATATTAAACCGCCCAACCGCCAGGCCGGTGTAGGCCGCGCCGTCCACTCTGCCCGGCCACCGCGTCGCCACCGCGTCGCCACCGCGCCCGGCACCCCCGCGGCCCTCGGCTCAAGCCACCCTTCCCTTCCGGGGGACAGGGATCCCCAGAGGCATACCCGGCGAATTCCTCTCCGCATTCCCGCCTCTTCGCCAGATGCCTGGGCTCCGGACCGCGTGGCCGCTCTCCTGGGGAGACTCCTGGAGAGACTCCTGGAGAGAGTCCTCGGGAGGGGCTCTGTTAAGCCAGCCCGCCATCGCCCTCAACTTTGTAAATTACACAATTTGCGAAACGTTCTCTCCCTCTCCCTGGGCAGACAGGTGTTGGCGCGCCCACCCACACAATGACGCGGCAAACACGCGGACCGCTCGCAATTCGCGTTGTAAATTAATTTAGTGCCTGGCAGCATGATTGTGCGCGTGCGGGGCGTGGCGGGGCGTGGCGGGGCGTGGCGGGGCGCGCCGCAACAAGTCCAATGCCAGCGCACGACATGTGTGCCACCGCTGGAAAGCAGGAAAACCGTGCGGACGCGTCTCGCGCTGCCGAGCGCTGCCGGCCAGCGAGGCTGAGGACCGCCACCGGGCTGATGATAATTCAATCATTCACCGTGCCCCCCCCCCCTCCCCGACCCCCACCGCCAACACGCCTTGCCACCGCGGACCCCGTGGGAGGTTGCGAATCGGAACGCGGAGCGGCCGAAAACGAGGACGAAACAGCCCGCTCAATCTCTGCTGGGAGCCAGCGATGCGTTCGTCTATATTTCTGTCGAGTCGGCGGTATCGGTCGCGCCCACACACACGTACTCACACGAGCGCGTACACACACGCACACACACACACACACACACACACACACACCCCACACACACACACACGAGTGTACCTGTAAAAGCATGCCTCGGTTTCATTCCTTTCACTCCGCCCCGCTCCGCGCGCAGTGAGGCTGGCACGGTCCCGCAGTTCCTGGCCGGGACGCACTTACCTAGCTTTCGTTGGTCGGGACGCACGCGGGACGCACTCCACCTTTGCCGTATGATGCCTGTTTGTTCCCGCCGAAAGGGCCGCGCGGTCGACGAGGCCAATCAAGCGGCCGAGTGCCCGGGGTAAACCCGAGCAAACCCGGGCGAACCCGCGGCGGATCGTCGGGGCTTCGGCGAACCCGGGTATTCGTGCTGCTGCACACGTGGAATGGCGCCCGATTGGTCGAGGCAGGTTCAATAAAAAGGAAAAGCTGGCGACGGTCTCCGAGGAACGGTGGACCTATCGGAGCAGGGTGGCGCCGGGTGCGTCTCTCCGTCATACGGCGCTGCTTGATGAACGGGCTGTGCACTGGCGGTGCACTGGGCGGCGGGCTGCATTACGTGATGCGGCGCTGCGGCTGTGCGGCCGGCGGACGGGGACAGTGCGCTTAGGTATGCAATCTGCTGCAATCGGATTACCCCCCTCCCCGCCCATCTGGGGCGTAATACCGCTTGATGGCGGAGCGCGGACCCTCCCCGCCGCCCTCCAGGCCTTCAGCCTGCATAGCCTCCAGGAGGGCCGCATAGCAGCTGTCCGGCCGCGCGGCCGGGAGGGGAAAAAAGGCGAGGGATGATTGCATGCAAGCGAAGGCAAGCGAAGGCCCACCTGGCTGCCGCTTCCCGTGTTCGTCGGCCGCTCCTCCTCCAGCCCCGAGCTCGTGGGCGCGGCCAGCGACGACGTGCCTAGTGCCGTCTCCGCCAGCCGCCGCGTCTGCGCCAGGTTCTCCAGGACGGTGTCCGTCCGGCAGTCCGACGCGTTGGGCTTGCGCGCCGCCTTGGCCTTCCTGGCGCGGTTCGACAGCGCCTGCAACACACAAGACACCACAATGTAAGGCTTCTCCGAGTCCGCGCGCCGCCGGGTGGGGGCGGGCGTGCACCTGCTGCGACCTATCAACGGGACCATTTCGAAGTGTCGTCGCTCTCTCTCCCACTCGGAGGGCGTGCCGCGCGGGTGCGAGAGAGACAGAGCGACTCTGCACTGCGGCTCGCCCGGGCTCGCCTCATCTCGCCGACGGTTTATCACGACGTTAATTCCTAACTGGGTGGCGATGGCCCGGGACGCCGTGCTGCGGGCGGGGCGGGGCGGGGCGGGGCGGGGCGGGGCGGGGCGGGGCGGTGACAGGGACGTGGGTGTGCGGGTCGGAGGCCTGCCCAGCCTGCCCGCTGCTGACACAGCTGGCCGGGAGTTGGCGCTGGCCTCCACCCCCGCCTGCCCCCGCCCCGCCACCTCTGGGGACGGCCCAAGCGGTTCCTTACCCCGAGAAGCTTTCTAAGCTCGCTGGCGTCCGCAAGCCAGGCCGGCGGGGCGGGGCCAGGCGGGGCCAGGCGGGGCCGGGCGGCCCGGTAGGGGCACTTGGGGGGCATTTATCTCTCCAACGGTAAGCAGAGCGCCGCACCGACCCAGGGGCTCTGCGCCGACGGGCCGACGGCGGGCCGACGGCAGGCCGACGGTGCCAACGCCACCCCTCGCAGTGTCACCGCGGCCGGCGGACGGCGCCGTCATGTGTCCGCCCCGTCCAACCCGTCCGCCCGGCCGTCCCGGCAAACTAAAGTGCTCAGCGAGACTTTTCTCAGCTGACGTGCTCGGCTGCTACCAGTGCCCCCTCCCACTGGCCGGGCTGGCGACGGCCTCCTCGCCCTCGTTGGCGTCCTGCGCGTGCCGCCATCCCAACCAGACCCGGGGCACAGGCACTACACGACCTGCAAGTGTAAGAGGGTTTGGCTGTCATTGATTTGAAGCTGCTCTCGGGTAACACGACGCAGCTACAACGAACCATGCACTGTACTGAGGAAAAAAAAGTGCAGCCATGACGCCAACAGATAAACATCGACGTGCTCATGAACAACAAACAATTGGAGGCACGATCGCACTGCAGGTGAGGGGCCACCGCAACGCCGTCGGCTAGAATGCCACACCACTGTTCTCGTTGTTTCTCCTGGCGGAGTGCTGTGGGCACGCTGGCCAGGGACCTCAACGAGGTGAAAACGAGGGGCAAGTTGGCGCAGAAATCTCTGCGAAGTACGACCAGGTCGGCCCACCGGAAAGGCGCGTACCTGCGCGAGGCTATCCACGCCATCTACACGTAGCGGGGGCGGCTCGCAGTGCACCCGCCACAAGGGGCGATAGTGGCGAGCTAAGCCCCGACTGGCCCGCGAAACAGGTAGGGAACTTCCAGCAGCGGCGCGCTAAGTTTCTCAAGTGTCAAAAAAGGGATCTTTTTCCCGCCCTCGCCGTCGCGCCCCCTTATCCCGAGCGGACGGGCGGCGCGGCCGTTCCAGTCCAACTTGCGCGCTACGCGACTCTTGCAGCCGTTTGCGATGCAGGGCGTTCCCCTTCCCCTCGGGCCAGCCACGCCACTGCAGAGTGCAAACGAGCCAGATAGAAGGTATCATTTGGACGTGATCTTCAGCGGCAGTAAGACCCTGCCCACCCGCCCGCCTTGCTGCCTTGCGCCTGGCTGCCCCCGGCTGGGGCGGACCAACCCACCCCGGCCCCGCCCGCCCCCGCCCGCCCGGGACGGCGAACGGAACGAGCGCAATCTGGACGTGTGCCTCACAGGGTTGCCATTTTTGCGACGCGCGCCGATACAGTTGCGGAAACTTTGCGAGAGGAAAAGAAAGGAACGGAGTAACTGAGGAGTCACGGACTCACTCCCTCCCTCTTCGGCCGAAGCCACGACGCGGCTGCCGCGAACGGCAGGAACGCGCGCCCAATGCGCAACAACAGTCATGGCGGAATACATAAATAATAAAAGAAAATCCCCAAGTTATCTCGTTTGGTGTCGTGGCGGGCCTGGCTTGCGGTGACGGCGTCTGTCGCGGCGCGACGCACGTATCGGGCGAGGGCGTGGATGTGGTGACACCCCGCCCCGCCCCGCCACGCCCCGCCCCGCGGCATGCAGCGTGGGAATAAGCCTCTTTGCCGCACGCCAAGTGCCTATTGCGAATGAGACACTGTTTGGCACGCAAAGCCGCCACCGCACCCATTTCAATGCTCTCCTCTCTCTCTCTCTCTCTCTCTCTCTCTCTCTCTCTCTCCCTCACCCTCCCTCCCTCTCTCTGCCACCGCAGACGCAGTTCACCCTTCAATACTCTCTCCCTCTGCAAGCAGATTCCGAGTAGTCCCTGCCGTTGCTTCGTCGAGAGAGAGAGAGAGAGAGAGAGAGAGAGAGAGAGAGAGAGAGAGAGAGAGAGAGAGAGAGAGAGAGAGGGCAGGACTGGCCGTAATCACTCCGCTGTCTCTGCCTAGCCAGGGCGCCGAGCGGCGCAGAGGTCACGCAGAGGGGTGCCTTCTCGTTGAAGGCGCCGCTCTGGAAAACGCCGAGAGTGTGCACAGTGTAGTGTGCCACAGTGTGCCAGCCTCTCGCCCCGAGAGGAGCCCGGCGGAGCACGGCGGAGCACGGCAGGGTGCAAAAGAAAGCAACGAGTTTCTTATTACGCCTCCAAAAAAAGAGGGAACCAGAGAAGAAAGCTGGCGGGCCCCCGTGTTTCGCCGCGCTGTGTACGCGAGAGGTAGTTGCCGAGGTGTTGGCTTGTTTTCGGATCGGCCAGAGTGGAGTGGCTGGCGCACTCCGGACTACGGCCAGCCAGGCCAGCCAGGCCAGCGAGGCAGGTGCGCAATTTCCTTGGCCCATTCTGCCCCCGCGGCAGCAGCGCTGCCCCGCCAGCAGACTGAGGAGGCCAGGCCCGGCCGGGCGCTCTGTCCCACTCGCAGGGCGTGTCGTCGGCGTGCGAGAGAGACAGCCCTCCCGGCGGCCCCGAGCGGACTGCCCAGAAGCTCCGCTAAGCAGATCCCTATCGGCGTGGCCGACGCCGGCCCTTTGTTGCTGGCGGCATTCTTGCCCATCCGGCGATGCGGCCATGCCCCGCCTAGCCATGCCCCGCCTCGGCCAGCCTCGGCCTGTCTGGGCCAGATAGGGTCGCCCGTGATCCGGATCCGACGGCCTCGATACACGAGATATCAATAAGCCGCTTTCCAGCCTGGAACTCGTATTGGATGAATTGGAGCCACTTTCTAAAAGCGGCCGGCCCAGCCCAGCGGGCCGACGGGCCGCAGCCAGGCAGCACCTCTGCACCGCCGGCGGCGCTGTCCGGCGCAACTTCAGGCAGCCTCCGGCGCAGATACTCCGGATTGACTATAATGGGGCCAGGGAGACGGATCGGCGCTATTAATACGCCGGGCGAATATTAACCATCGTGAGGAATGGCTGCCATTAAGATTGGCCGCGAGCACAATGACACAAGCCGATACAAAAGCCTGCCAAACGCAACGCGCGCACAGACACACACACACGCACACACACACACACACACACACACACACACACACACACACACACACACACACACAGAGCCACTTCCGACGTCGCGAACCAATGAAAACGAGGCAGGCTTGGTTTTATTGATGAGGGGGGCGAGTCACTTAGGCCTGCAGATAGAGCCTTCTACTGCCGCACTGCCGCTGCCTTGCTTCGCAATCCCTTCGGATTCCCCGGAAACGGTGATTTATGTTGCCTTAACTTCCCCCGCGTGAGAGTGACGGAGATAGAATCGCGTGGGTGAATGGAATCTCGAGTTTAAACGCCAGGCGTCGCGGAGTAAGAAGAATGTTTCGGGGGAAAGGGGCGTGGGCGGAGACTCGAGTGAGATGGGTGCTCGGTCGGACGGGCGACGCGGCGACGCGAAGAGAGAACCACCCTTTAAGGGAATTACTGGTTGGGGCGAGGAGAACCGTCATCACTGATAATCTGTACACTCCGGGGACACTTTCCAACTAATTTGCGAGTTCGTTACGATCGAGCGCGACTTCTAAGAGAAAACAATTTGAACTTTACAGGAACTGTTTGAGATAATTTAAATTATTTTGCGATTTTTTTTAAGGGTGACTCAGCGTTTTGCACAGTGTCCCGTCCAAGGACAAGGGAGACCTTAATGAGAATCTTTCCACTCTATGCAACGAATGCCCTCGACGAGACGATGAGAAGAAGTCGCGTCCAAAGCGTGAGGCAGAGCCAGGCAGAGCCCGGCAGAGCAGCCCCTAGCAGCCCAAAGCAGCCCCGCTGTGTCCACAGCAGCAATGACTCCGTTGTGTGCCTCGCGCAAGACAAACTCGGACGAGGATCTCCCATCGATGCCAGCGCGGCGTACCGACATTAAACAGACCGAGAGCGAGAGAGAGAGAGAGAGAGGGGGGGGGCTCCTTTTTTAAACAGCAAAGAAATAAACCGCCGCGCCATGCTCCGGAGGGACTAGAGTAAAGAATGACTCTGGTTTTGACGCTTTTCGCGGACGAGTAAAGACAAGCGACCCGCCCTCCAAGGACAAACTTCGGGGCCCTCTCTGGGGGCATTTAAATTTGCGTCTACCAGTGTAAGACAAACCGGGCGGATAGAAAAAACATTCCTACGTGAGGTGGGCACACTCTCAGCGAATAAACCATCCCCTTTCAAAGCATCGAACGTAACAAAAATGCAAAAACAACAACAAAGGTAAAGCGACGTCCCCGAAAAGTAATGTCCGCCCCCGCACCACTTTCATCAATATTATTTTGCTCGCGGAGCCTTAGCCGCCTTTCTTGGCCTCCCCTGCCGTTGTGGTCGCGCGAATCTGGGATGAACACCCTACACCGCAAACTTTGAGAGAGGGGGCGGGGCGGGGCGGGGCCAGTGGCCCAGAGGACGTTTAAGTAATCCATGAATGGTTAAGGGAGCAGATGATTAGCTTAAACCTTGGAGCTGCAGCGTCGGCGCTCCTCCCCAAGTGCCGGCCTCAGCAAACCCCCGGCGGCCCCCGACGGCCCCCCGC